TTAATGAAACATATTATTAACAAATTATGGGCAAGTTACGTTATTTTTGCGAATTAAAGGCTTTGTAGAAATAATATCTTCATTTTGTTTCTCTCCGTTAGTTTGATTTTATTTACTTTTATTTTTTAACTGTACAAAAAGAATGATTTTGCTAAAAGATCTAAAATTTTGCTGGATATAGATCTGAAAATAATTTTATTCGAAACTCAAACTGATTGTTAGAATATTAAAAATTTTGTTCATCATTTTTTAGTTTCCAATTATTTTTAATTACACAATTATTTAGTTACATAATTATTTTGATAGTCCAATAAAATTATTTTTAGATCTGTATTCAGCAAACATTTTGACCTTTCATTTTTATCTGGTATTTTATTTCGTGTATATACGTTCATAAAAGAATTGAAAAGGAAATGTGAGCAGAGCAGTTAAATTATTATTTCATTTGATATAAACATATACGTATACATGTTACAGTCAAAGTCAGTAAATGTATACATTTACTGTATAGTTTGCTGTAGTTAATGTACATATACATTTATTATACGTAAATATATACATTGACTAATAAGTGTATACATTTACTAAAGTTAACACTTTGACTATGATATATTTATGTGACGGAATATGATTTATTTTTCGTGAACGGCAGTGAGACATTCGCGAGAAATCTCACTAATTGCGCTCATCGATGTTATTTTTCATGGTTCCCTCGCAGCGTCAGAATTTCAGGAAATTGGATTCGATGCGATCGCGGAGCGAGAAACTTTCACCCGATAAGATATACCAGCGTAATCGTTTGATATCTCGTTCTTCGGGCCAATGAGTCATCGGTGTGACATTTCTAAGGAGCAGGTTTCCCCGATATTCTGGTATGTATTCAAAATGAATCATCGCGTGTTTCATGTATATTATAAAAACGACTACGTGGAACTAGTTTCATCGTCGGTTGGGATTGATTGCACAGGGTATGTTATACGCTTTCATTCAAGTATGAATTATCTAGTAAATTTCCGGAATCTTGGCAGGAGCCTAAAGAACATTACGGTGACTTAATGGCGGAATTATTCAAATTGATCAGCAAATTTATGTTCTTATGTATTTTGCAAATTAAAAGCTTTAAAAAAATGATTTTTTTCTTACTTCAATTTTAAAAGGACTTACAATTAATCGTAAAATATTAATTTAAGGTTTAATAATCAACTAAAATTAGATTAATTAATTTAATTAAGTCGTGCTGACAGCATAGATATAAGATTACTTCAAGATCATTGAATATCGCCTGTAATTTACTTAATTTGATTACATCCACATGATAATGTTTACATATCAATCAAAAAATTAAATGCGGCTTTGTGATGCCGAACTTCCGCTGTGAAAATATCAATATCGGATTTAGCGAGAAATTCTTAACAAAGGAAGCTGATACGCCCGAGTGAATTCTGATATACCCTGTGTAAACTGAACGTTTTATCGCCTCTGGGATACGACAAACGGCACGTAGAACTTTACGCATGTCCTCCCTTCTGTCATGCAGATCCAAGACGCGTGTCCTTTGGCCCTGTGTCTATGTGAAAGAATTACACTGATGGGAAAAAATGATTGCAATTACTATAATATTTAATTATAATTTATAGTCATTTTTTGGGACAACATGTACAATATTTACAATTATTTTAATCATACAAATCAATTGTGCTATTAATAATAGCACACACATATATTATTTGAAAATTTTTAGTTCTTCCTTAATATATTTTTTAATTATTACTATATAAATAGTAAATAAGTTTAAGAAAATAGATACATTACTATAATTATAATTGTATTTACTGAACAAAAATGTTTATTTATCATTCATATCTTGATATTCTATATATTAATATTTGAAATTATCATACTTTGAAATTATCATAATTTATAATAAAGTTTTTTTATATTTGAGAGGACTATATATGATTATTATTTCTAATATTGTAACATATTATTACTAATATATTAATGCAATATTTTTATAGTTTTATAATAACTATAAAAATGAAATTCCTAACATAATTATTATTAATTCTATAGACACAAATACTTTTCTTTCAATGCTCCTTTCAAATATAATACTATGTAAAAAGGATAATACATGTATAATACTACCATATACGCAATGAACACAAATACGCGCGTGCACGATGGTAACTACATTGCGCCATGTGAGCACCCGTGCCAGTTGTGCATTTTAATTCTTTCCCCCGGTTGCAGTCGTTCGTGACTGCTCTTTGTTCTGTACAACATTTCCTCGGCTTACTCCAATCTCAAACGTGCGATTTATGTTTCTTCATGTCGCTGGAATTGATCGAGTGTAATTCCATGGGGCAGTTTCGAAATTGGAATGAACGACAGCGACAGAAAGATTTATATCTTACAATAGAAAGAATATAGTTATCTAATGATATAGAATATATAGTTGTGAATAAATAGACGTGAAAATTATTTGTGGCTTTTTTGGATATGTAATAGAGAATGATATAACACATTGGATTTTTCATCCATCGATGTTTTCGTGCATATTTTATTTTAAATGCATATATATTCGATATTATCTAAAATATTGTAGATAGCTTTAATGGAATTTTTATCAGTTTCTGAATGATAAAAAATTTAAATGTATTGAGTTTATGTTTTATATTTTTTAATTTTAATACCAGAATCAACATCAGATTTTTATGTATCCAGAATTATTGATAATTTCTTAAGAAATCGTCGCACGACCGCGAATATCATAATTTGATTTAAATTTATTAAGATTGTTATAGAATTTTAATTTTAAAATTAGATAGAAACATTGCGCGATTTTTATGTAAAAGCATCTTTAACCGGATGTCTTTCGATGATATTCAGGAAACGGATGGAGATTCGCCGTTGGGTAAAAAAAGTGACGCGTCGTTTATCGCTGAATAAAAATAAGCACACAGGAACGTAAAAAGAGAATGGATAAAGTTATACTTTATAGGAAATTTACTTCTTGCAAATTGAAATGTTAACGCACGAATTTGGACAAATCTTTTTCGAAAACTTGGTAAAATACCTTTATTAAATAAGAGTTGTCATTTGAATATATTATATAATTAATATATATTAGTGACGCACATAACTTGTAACATGCCTAAAAAAAATTTGAGTACAATTTCGAAAACACTATCTGTTGTAAAAGCTTGCAGTTTTCCCTGTAAAATCATTTTTTTTTAAATATTCCTACAATTTTTTGAGTTATCGCCGATTAAATAAAAAGAATATTTTGATTTTAATTGCTCATAACTTCGTTAAAAAACATGACGTAATTAAAATGACGTTATTAAAATAGATTCTTAAAGCTGAAACTTTGCTCTATCGAATGGTACAACCGAATGTAATATAATGATATAAATTTAAATTAAAAATGTGACAAAAAACGTCATGACTTTTCCGACAACCCAATAACTTTTATTTTATACAATTAATATCATTTCATTATAAATTTAATACGATTATACATTATAATCGTATTAAATCAATAATTAATACTATTGAAATGACATACGTTAAACTCGCTAATAAATTTCTGAATCACTGCTGTCGCTGATTAGCTTGATGTCATTATCAAACTATGCGACATTAATTAGCCATAATTCATATTATCGTTTTATCACTTATTATTAATTTCTTTTTTTAAATGAGCTTAATTCGTAGCCTTGAAGAAAGTTCAAGAAAACAGCTGCACAATTGATTTTCATTTTGGGTCCTAATCGCTAATCGCAAAATTAACCAATCGGTCCTTGTGCAAATTCCCGTTAATCGCGACTTTGAAATTACGATGCGGCAGCTGGATAGCGCAGGTGCGATTAAGTGATGCATAGTTGCAGATGCATGTGCGCATTGGGTTGCACCTGCGAATCGCGAAACTTGATTCTTCGCCGTCGGCGCGTAGACTACCGTCGAGACGAAGTGCGTCAAATGATTGTGTGTGTGTGTGTGTGTGTGTGTTTTTCGTGTTGCACTGTGTTGCAAATTGATTTCGGAACACGAAACAGCAAAATCTGACAGGATAACGATCAATTATGTCAAATCGTTGCCACAAATTGGCATTATAATTCACACTTAATTTCATGGATATTCAATAAAAGCACGAGATTTGCTCATAGAGTTAAATTTTCAAGATATAATTTTATTAATTAAAAGGAATTTAAATCGCTTTTGTATCTTAAAGTCGGTCTCCCTGTCGATAATCTTGATATAAAAATAATAAGAAAATTGTAGAGAATATTTTAATAAATAATACCCATAAGACTTTCATGACATTAAAGAATTAATAAAAAGTTGTTCATCTTCGAAATAGCATAATTTTCACTTGTTGGACAACAGGTGGTCAAGCATTCCCTTTGATGTGTGAATTCACCCCAGGAATGTAATTGAGTTGAAATTTGATATTAGCCAGAAGTGCCAAGCAATTAACAAAGATATCTTTGAATAATTATTAATAGTTTCAATTTCATTACTTTTTAAAATTATACTTTTCTGCTTATTATCAAATTTAAATGTTTTAATTAACTGTTTAAAGTTTATTCATAATTAAAGATCTCTGAGTATTTATCTGGAAAACCTTTGAAAAGTATAATATACGAATACGATTAATCACTGCTCTTTCTAACAATGAAACTATTGAATTCATTCAGTTATAAATCTCTTTGTCAAAAATGTCAAATAATTCAATTTTCTTTATGCTACATCTGCGGATTATTCTTGTTAAGATATACTTAGCATTCATTCTTTTTTATATCAGTTATATCATCTTGAAATTAATTAGTGGCTTTTAATTAACATAATTAAATGGATCTTACAAACAGCGATAGTAATCGTGTTGCAGATTCTGACGTCAACTCAAGAGGATTAGATAAGCGTTTTAAAGAATGATTTTCAAATCCTACAATTCTCTCTTACAATTATTTTTTACAGTGTCTTTTTCTTTTTACTTTTCAGGCTCAAGCCCTGAGTGCGGCGTGCCGGACATGACAGTCATCAGCAATATCGACGAAATTGGTATCAATCGAAATCTTCAAGTTCGGTATAGTAGGGACCAGATATACGTATCCTTTCTTACGATATACTGCAGTATATCGTGTATAGCTATGCTATACACTGCATATATTCATATTCGCATTATGTCATTCGGTGCAATATTATTGTTATGTCTCTTTGATGCTTGAAATATTGTATTAAAGTTACGACAACTCGAGGTACAATATAAATTGATTTCTGAAATAGATTTTTTTCTAAATGATTATTTAGAATTGAACATTAAATGATTATTTCTAAATGATTACATTAGACAAGTAAAATTAGTCTTGTAATAATTATGATATAATTATCTTTGACAAATTTGATAATCTAAAAATTTGAGAATAACTCACACAGTATAATATATGAACAATAATATTTAAAAACATTGAAAAATTGGAAAAATATAATGATTTTGTTTATCTCAATATTACTACAGTTAAAACTGAAAAATTATTTTTGTTCTTCGAGTTACACGCTTTTATATTTATTATTTATTTTATGTTTATGTATGATTTCATTTACTTGGGGCTTCATTCAAATTAGGCAAATGAATGGAGAAATAGGTAGGTGACGAAAAATTAACCGATTTCATCCGAGAAAGAGGTGCAAGATAGAGGGAGAAAAAAAAATAAATTGGCCAAGGGAGATGACATGAGAGGGCGCGTTCACATCGCAGAGGTGGGCTGAGTCCTAGGTTGTCGTGTTGCTATGACGATCTCAGCTGGCGAATCACTTCAGGATCAGACTCATTTATCTCTCATCGGTTTGGGTTTGCTAACGACCTAACAAGTCGTTATCGCAGCGATCCATCTGATTTTTCCTTTCCTCCTTTATCGATTATGATACGAAAAAATCCGTGAATTACTAATAATTCAAAGCACATTTAGCTCGATGAAATAATCGGTGACTAATATTTCAAATAGAGGTCGTCTGATCGTCTAATATCAGAATGTCAGAATGATATGTGTATCATGTAATTCTAATCACAGCAATATTATATTCCATAAGAACCAACGTCTGAATTAATTCTGAAGTAAACACATAGGTACTGTTTAGTGGAATTAACACGAAGCGTAATATTATCATACAGAATTATTAATATCGGATATTACGTTTTGCTTTGTGCGTCTAATGTAATAATAAATACACATAATCATTGAAAGTTAGAATTATCTCATTCAATCTGTTGGATTATTCGATTTAATTGATTGAATGAGACGCATATTTATAGAAGTTGCATTTCGTAATAATGAATGAGATGTACGAAGATTATTATAATCCCGATAATTGCAAAATCTTATGACACTCAATGTATTATAATTCAAAATCTACAAATATTCGCTCTAATTGACCAATTAGCTACCGGAATTTAAACACGCGATTTAGGTCGTCGACAATCCGCTCGTTAGTGGACATTTCCTCGTACGTGAAGAACACGTGCGACGATGTACTTAACTAATCTTCCGTTGCATTTAAATGGAAATTGTATAAGACCGGATGAAGATGATAACTGTACATAATTTTCTATGACATAATTTTTAACCAAATAACATATTTTTTTATTAATTATTCAATTATTCAATTATTTCGTTTAGAAACACTTTAAAAAATTTTTTTTAAATTAGTTGGAAATATTAGTTTAGTGAATTTTGTGAATATAATTGTTCCTTAATAATTATCCTTAATAATTTAATAATTAAATTATCAAAACATATGAAATAATTTCTAACTTCGTGCAATCTTTAATTCTTAATTAGAAAGTATCTCATCCATCGAAGGGGCTACATAAGAAACTGAACTTGTTTCCCAAAAGGGCTAAGCTCTCATCATGTATATACATACATATGTCGGTGCTCACTTTTTGTCGTCTGATGTAATCGAAAAATTAAACGGCTCGTAAAGCGATCATTCGGGTCCCTCGGTCTTTTCGAATCTCCGTCACTGAACATTTCTTATCACTGTCGTGGGCGCAAACGAGATTCGCAGCTGGTAAAGACAGCTCTTGCTGTAAACATCAAGCATGTTTCTCGAATACATTAAATATCAAAATTACGTGATAGGGGAATAAAAATTATATTATGATATAAGAATCTGTTACGTGTTCATCGCTCAAATGCAAATGAAATCCATGTAAAAAAGTATTAAATATTATTTAAAAATTATTATATTTTTAACAAATTTTACAATTCTAAAATTAATAAAAAAATTAATAAAAGTGATAATTTAGACATTTTACGAAAACAAATATTAATAAGTTAATAAAAACACAAATACATATAAATCGCGCTTAGACAGAATTTCTAAAAGAAGATTGACTCGTGAAAAGATTAATCTTTAATCTATTATAAACAGAGTACGTATAATTCAGCATTGTTCACTGTTGTGAATATTAATTAAACTTTTACAGAGGGAGCAATTAAGTCTGTCATATTTTAAAATGTCATAACAGTAGCTTCGCTTTCTTGTTACAAAAGTAGGTCGATCGGATAAATAATACGGGTTAAGAAACCGACGACCGAAATCACCCAGTCATCCATCATGCGTGATAATTAAACGCTTTTCTTACCGCTCAGCTTCCAGGCAGCTTAACCCTTTCCAGAGCGAGTGGCCTAATTTTTTCGCATCGATGAACCCTCTCGCGACCCTCCCAGACATTCACCCTCCTATTCTCATCGCCGTGTGTCTCTTGTTTTTTCCTTTTTTTCTTCATTCTCTCCCGGTAATAGAGGTACACGAGTCGTCCCATTCCTACCCCTGCGACGAGTGCAATTCAAGTCGGCTAAGGGCGTTTCGCTGGTGAGAGAGGTTAATGAGAGGAAACTACCTTCATACATGCAGGTATCTGTTTGTGCGAACGCGCGCGCATCGAGCGCAAAGGAACGGATAACATCCGGTTCATCGACGAAGCACTCTCTGATCTTGCACGCTTGGTTAAATTAAAATGTAACCGATACCTCACTCTCTAGCCAGACGTCACACCGCCGCGCTGCTATTATTGGCTTAAATCGCTTAATTATTCGTTTTGCCCTTAGATTGAAAGGATCATTCAGAAAGAAGAGAGAAACCAACGAGTCTTTTCATTTCGAACGATTTGATTGAAAGAATTTGTTATTCAAGTTTATTAGCATCTTTTTTGTTTTATATTTAATCAAATATTTTTGTAAAAATAATATAAGTTTAGATATGAAAATAATTACTTAGGTATATCTCAATTTTTAAAGTTATTCGAATGATGAAAAGTTCGAAGTAAGAGAATGAACTGTCTTCATATACAAGAAAGATTGACATATAAAAAAAAAGAAAACGAAGGAAAGGAGAAATTGCATAGCTAACTGATCTCTGTGATAATACATAACATTTAATTATTATAATATTCAGTACAACTTTTTTAAATAACATATTAACGTCAGTTTATTTTTAACTTTGTTATTTTTCTATAATTAATTGTATTAATTTAAATATAAAAGATCTGAAATTTTTTAAGATAGGTATTAAAATTTTTTTTAGTGGGAAAAGGGATATTGAAATTATTCGCAACGATTTCATTTTAATATGATTTTATTTAGAGTTTAAATATTAAATATGACATATTTACATACTGAAAAAAATTTATTAAATCTTAATATATTTTTTTTAA